GGGCTAACGTTAGCCCTGGCTGCTGCAGACGGGCTAAATCAGTAAATGTTCCATATAGTGATATTTACCGTCCAGCAGCTGTGCAGCAGAGCCCTCAGCATCACTCCTCTCATCTAACAACCTTTCCACAGATAAATCCCTTCCCCTCCACAGGATCTGAGGTTAGTGACTCTCCTTTGAGTCCTGACTGTCTCGCTCCGTCGTTCCTCCTGCAGCTTCTGTCCCTCATCTTGGTCTCAGTCTGAAGGCAAATTCAGAGCTGAAGCTGCTGTGGGCAGTTTCTTCTAATGACCTGTAGAGGGGGGCGGGTTCCAGAAGGTTCTAAAGGTCTAACCTGCTGTGCTGTAGGGTGGGGGGTGCAGACCAGCTGAGGTTCCGGAGCTTTCTTCACAACATCCAGGAAGGAGACACCAGAATCTGCCACCAGACCTGCAAACAGAGCAAAGAGCTTCAGAGGAAGGACTATCAGCTGTAGTCTCTGTAGTAGAAGGACTACGAGCGTATCACCATGCAGAGCTCGGTAGGCGGAGCCTAAGCAGGTGGAGTCGGACAGGTCGATGGTGTAAACCGGGGCGTTGAACACGTCAGACAGAACCTGAAGAAAGCAGAACATCAGAATCATTCTGCTGCTTCTCTGCGGTTCTATAGAGCACAGAACCATCCGGTCCAAACCGGTCCAAACCGGTCCAAACCGGTCCAAACCGGTCCTGGATCAGAGTCCGTTTCATTCATCAGCCGACGGTTTGATCAACGGAACCTCCTATCAAAGCTCTAAAACGGACCTGCAGGATCTGCTGGTTGGCAGAAGCTCCTCCGGTGGCCAGAACTCTGGTTCCTGGAACTGAAACACAGACAGAGAGTTCATGCAGCCAGGTTTCTGTTGGTACCGGCAGTAAAGCAGCTGGTTCTGGGTTCTCCTGGACTCATCTCTGATCTAACGGGCCCAGACATGTGGACCTTTTCATCAGGGGACATTCATCTGACCTCGATCCAGAGGAGACACGAGGCAAAGCTTAGTCTTACCGATGGAGTATCCGAGTCGCTCGGCGTGGAGCCTGCGGGACAGAAACTGACCCTCAACCAGAGCCCTGATCTCCACCTCAGGACTCCACTGGGACACCTGGACAAGATCCAGAGACGGGTAAGAGACAGGAGGGACATCTGAGCTGCAGTGGACCCTCATGGACTGACCTCACGGTCGTTTGAGTCGAAGCGATGGACGCCAACGGCGGGAGGAGTGATCTCCATGGTGTCAAAATAAAAGCCTGGAGGAGACAAAGACGCCGTCAGGGAGGACAGGGGACAGAGGACGATAAATAAAGGACAGAAGTGAAGAATTTCCACCGATGTTCCCGTTGTTTCCGAGCGGCGTCTCCTTCAAAGCATCAGAGAAAGCTTCCCAGGACCCTGCAGCACACTGGTTCCGGACCCGCTCTCTGGTCAGGGACCCGTTCTTAAAGCTGAAACAAACAGGAAGGAGGCTTTTATTTTGAAGGATTCATGTCCTTCAGGAAGTAGCAGCAGCTCCAAACATCAGGTCTACTTCTGTACCACAGCAGGGCCATGTAGGCCTGCAGCTCCACAGGGTTGCAGAAGACGTGGCCCTCAAGGGCCGGCCGGGGCTCCTGGAGCCACAGGAACACCGTGTCGCTGGTCCCCAGACTGACCTGCAAACAGAGCGGGACTCAGAGAGGCCGAAGGCGGCAGGTGGATGAGGAGGACAGAGGGGGACTCACAGCCATGTCGCCCTGATGGAGCCTCATTCCAGCCAGAGATGCTGGGGAGGAGAGACAGCGACAGGTCACCATGACGACGGTCCGCCATGTTTACTGGATCATCTCAATTTATATAATTTTTTTATTTCATTTATTCCTTATCAGTTTATTACTAGAATGAACATGTGATTTTAATAATTCAGATCATTTTAATGGTTTTAATTTATTGAAGCTTTCTTTGTTCCTGCAGGAAGCTGAGGTTCAGGAGAGCAGCAGCACCATCTAGTGGTCAGGCAGCGGTAGCAGCAGTCTGATGTTAAATAATGGAAACTTTCCCACCTGGATTGTCTCCGGTGAACGCCACCACCCGGCAGCTCTCAGAGAAACCAAACCGATGCACAAAGTATGAGGAGACAGAACCCTGGAACACCAAGCAGGACCAGCAGGGTCCAGTTAGGACACCTGGGGACCAGCAGCGACCACAACAACCCAGTAAAACCAGTTACCAGTACAGCCGTGGAGGGAAGAGGAGCTCCTAGCAGTCGGTCCAGGTCAGGAGCTGTTGCTTCCAGGCAGATCTGAGACCAGTTTCTGGCCCGGATGTCCAGCAGATTCATCCCAGAACCTGATGAAGCATCAGTTACTGTTTACCAAGGAGCTGAAGGACGGAAGGTTGATCCACGGAGGTCGGAGCGTACCGTCGCTGTAGTCGATGGCGGCATAACCACCGAGGAAGAGAGAGGCCGCAAAGCTGCTCACCAGCGAGATCCTCTAATATCAGACACACAGAAACACGCCGCTGTCAGGCAGGTGAGACGACATCTAAAGGGGCGGGGCCTGGAGGCGGAGCTCCAACCTCTGTGTCCTGGAACTGGTCCGAACGGGTCTGCAGAAGTTTGGAGATCTGGTTCCCTGTGAAGCGCTGCAGAAAAACACGGAATGAGGCGTCAGACAGACAGAGGGACAGACAGAGGGACAGACAGAGGGACAGACAGAG